ACAAGAACAAGAAGTCTCAAGTCGCAATCATTACAAAGCTTTGGAAGAAAAAACTAAAGCAAGTCTCTTATGATTCTCTGGGGACTTAAAACAGGCGCCCAATAAAATGGGCAGTTAACCATATAAGCATAGATCTCTTCACTGCTTTAACTAAATGTGACTCATCTAAGTCACAATTTTCTTGGAAACCTCAGGTACACTCTTCTCAAGGGGGAAAAACCCCACACTATAAAATAGGATGAAAGTTTAGTTGACTGAAAATTTGCACATTGGAGGTAAAATGTGTAGATAGATTCAATATCTTACAAGGAACAGAAACCAAGCTTTGTGACTTTCAGTACATGTTTTCCTTTTCTTTCCAAGGGGAAGATAATAGGAAGAAGCTACATCACACAGCATTTCAAGAGCATTGCAGATTTATAACGTATACAAATGAACACTGAACAACCACACCTTCAAGAAAGAATAATGCCTGCCTACTTAGCCATCGTCAGTGGAGCAAGACTTCATTTTTAAAAGGTGTACAATCTTCTGGTAACAGAGGGCAGAAATAAGGCGTGCATCTTTCAGCATCAGGAGATGTGGAAAGGGACCTGGGAGTCCTGGTGGACAACAGGATGACCATGACCCAGCAATGTGCCCTGGCGGCCAAGAAGGCAAATGGCATCCTGGGCTGCATCAAGAAGAGTGTGGCCAGCAGGTCAAGAGACGTCATCCTCCTCCTCTACTCTGCCCTGGTGAGGCCGCATCTGGAGTACTGCATCCAGTTCTGGGCTCCCCAGCTCAAGAAAGACAGGGATCTGCTGGAGAGGGTCCAGCAAAGGGCTACAAAGATGATTAGGGGATTAGAACATGTCTCATATGAGGAAAGGCTTAGGGACTTGGGTCTCTCGAAAAAAGGGTTTAGAGAAAAGAAGATTGAGGGGGGATCTGATTAACACTTACAAATACTTAAAGGGAGGATGCCAGGGGGATGGGAGCAGTCTTTTTTCAGTGGTGCCCAGTGATAGGACGAGGGGTAACAGGCACAAGCTTGAACATAGGAAGTTCCATCTTAACATGAGGAGGAATCTCGTTACTTTGAGGGTAGTGGAGCACTGGCATAGGCTGGCCAGAGAGGGTGTGGAGGCTCCCACTCTGGAGACATTCAAAACCCGCCTGGACGCTGTCCTGTGCAACCTGTTGTAGGTGACCCTGCTCTGGTGGAGGGGGTTGGACTAGATGATCTCCAGAGGTCCCTTCCAACCCTGACCATTCTGTGATTCTGTGATTTGTTGTGTAGCCAAGACTAAAGGCACACAGAGAGTTCCAATGAAATGTATATTCCTAATCCACAAGTTGCCAATTCTTTTGCTTTTTGGCAGAATCCATTTGGAAGAGAGATGTCAGTTATGTAATGAAGGACGATCTATTTCTCTCCTGGGAAAAAAAGATAAGACATTTCTTTTAATGTGTCTAAAGCTTTAGCTGTACTTCTGTGGGAAAGAACCATTCCTTTTGCACATTAGAATCATAGAATAGAATCATAGAACAGTTTGGGTTGGAAAGGAACTTTAAAGGTCCGCCCCCCCTGCAATGAGCAGTGACATCTTCAACTACATCAGGTTGCTCAGAGCCCTGTCCAATCTGACCTGGAATGTTTCCAAGGATGGGGCATCTACCACCTCTCTGGGCAACCTGGGCCAGTGTTTCACTGCCCTCATCATAAATTTTTTTTTTCTTATATCTAGTCTAAATCCACCCTCTTTTGATTTAAAACTATTACCCCTTGTCCTATTGCAACAGACTCCTACCAAAAATTATTTCCCCATCTTTCTTAGAATCATAGAATGTATTAGGTTGGAAGGGACCTTGAAGGTCATCTAGTCCCAACCCCCCTGCCATGGGCAGGGAGACCTCCCACTAGACCAGGTTGCTCAAAGCCCCATCCAACCTGGCCTGAACAATTTCAAGGATGGGGCCTCCACAACTTCTCTGAGGAACCTGTTCCATTGCCTCACTTATAAGATCCCTTTAAGTACTGAAAGGCCACAATAAGGTCTCCCCAGAGCTTTCTCTTCTCCAGGCTGAATAACCCCAACCATCTCAGCCTGTCCTCATAGGAGAGGTGCTCCAGCCCTCTGATCTTTTTTGTGGCCCTCTTCTGAACCTGCTCCGACAGGTTCATGTCTTTCCTGTGCTGAGGGCTCCAGAGCTGGATGCAGTACTCCAGGTGAGGTCTCAGCAGAGAAGAGCAGAGAGGCAGAATCACCTCCCTCGACCTGCTGGCCACGCTCCTTTTGATGCAGCCCAGGGTATGGTTTGCCTTCCGGGCTGCAAGTGCACACTGCTGGGTCATGTCCAGCTTTTCATCCTCCAGTATCCCCAAGTCCTTCTCAGCAGGGCTGCTCTCAAACCCTTCATCCCCCAGCCTGTATTGATACTGACGGTTGTCCTGAACGAGGTGCAGGACCTTGTACTTGGCCTTGCTGAATCTTGTGACGTTCACATGGGCCCACTCCTCAAGCCTGTCCAGGTCCCTCTGGATGGCACCCCATCCCTCAGGTGCGTCAACCACACCAATCAGGTTGATGTCATCTGCAAACATGCTGAGGGTGCACTCGGTCATTGACGAAGATATTAAACAGTACCATCTGGACACTGAGCTGTTGACCACTACCCTCTGGATGAAACCATCCAACCAATTCCTCATCCACCGAACAGCCCACCCATCAAATCCATATATCTCCAATTTGGAGAAAAAGACATTGTGGGGGACTGTGTCAAAAGCCTTGCAGAAGTCCAGAGAGATGACATTCATAGCTTTTCCCTTGTCCACTGATGTAGTCACTCTGTCATAGAATACCACTAGGTTGATCATGCAAGATTTGCCCTTGGTGAAGCCATACTGGCTGATTCGAATCACCTCCCTGTCCTTTGTGTGCCTTAGCATAACTTCTGGGAGGATCTGTTCCATGATCTTCCCAGGCACAGATGTGAGGCTGACAGGTCAGTAATTCCCAGGGTCCTTCTTCCTACCCATTTAAAAAATGGGTGCAATGTTTCCCTTTTTTGCAGTCACTAGGGACTTTACCTGACTGTCATGACTGTTCAAATATCATGGAGAGTAAGTATCCACCATTTGGCGTGGAGCTTTTAAAAATATTTGAAATACTCAGTAATCAAGATGGTGCACTGTTGTAATCACTGCTGCCTAGGGAAAGGGTGCAGTGCTTGTGGCTCATTAGGAATCCCAACAAATACTTGCAATCCCCCTATCGCCTTCTTGTCATGCAGGTCATTCAAGAAAAGAAGTCATGACTGATCTTTATTAAAAATAAGAAATAAAACCCAGAATTAATGACAACTGACTCTTGCAAAGCCATTTTGCCAGTGTGTCATGGTTGGGGCTGGCCACTAAAACAAACAATAGATGCTCTCTTTTACTTCTCCCCTCTTCAGATAAGGAAGGCCATCTCCCTTCAGGGACAGAAGGATGAGAGAGAAAAGAGACTTATGAGTTTAAAAAGAAACTATGTTACTTTAAAGAAAATATTACGAAAATAATAAAAAAGAAAATAATGAAATATATACAAAACTGGTATTGAGCTCCCATGGTGACGATCACATCACCAGCAGGCACTGGGAAAGTCTCAGGCTGGACTTAGGGACAGATGAGAACTGGATTCTAGAACACAAGGATCAGGACCACAGGCAAACAAACACATGGAGTCCTCCTCGGATGCCGGCCATAGAAGAAAGAGGGCTGACCCTTTGATTCCTCAGCTTTTATACTGAACATGAGGCAGATGGGATGGAATACCCTGTTGGTCAGTTTTGGGTCACCTGTCCTGTCTGCTCCTCCCCACAGGTGGGACCCCACTACGCTTTTCCTCTTCCAACCCTCCAACGGGGCAAATAACAAAATTAGTTGCCCTTCGTTGTTATAGCAATTAGTGTAAGCAAGAGCCTTTCTGCATATCATCCCTTGGCATAAATTATAAACACTCAGGTCTTATCATTCTGGAAGTGGATACTGTTGGAAAAATATGCCATTAATTTCAGAGAGTTCAGTTACTTAGAAAAGACTTAGCTGCAACATAAAATTACTGAACAGAAAATCAGTTCTGTTTTACCTCAAACCAGGACACCAGTGTCCTAAATATTGAGACCAAGAGGAACACCCATAATCCATAATGCTATTTTTCACTAACTGCTTAGCTTTTCTATCAACATGCACGACAATGAAATCAAACCAGGGAACAAATGTAACACTTCAAATGTAAGCAGATAAACAGCTTAAACTTTGTTCTTACTGTATCTTATTATTCTGGTATGAATATCACTGCCTATAGCAAGAGCAAAAGGAAAGATTAAAAGTTGTATCATAGTGTTTGTACCTAGGTCAAGTGTCCATCAATCCTAGTGTCTATCTACAGCAATGGCTATTAACACTTGCTAAGAGTAAAAACAAAAAATAATGCATCACTGATATTTGCTTGCTTCTGGAAGTCACTACCTGCAAGATTTCAAGAGCTGGAGTTTACATGACATTTAATAGGATGGTTCTATGTTATAGATAAAAAGCAAAATTGCTTTTTGAACCTATTTATTAGTGCAGTAGCTCAACCTGTATACCAGAGTGCAAATACACTAATAAGAGAGATTTAAAATCACTGCTTTCTAAAGAGTTTTCAGACTTGAGTTACATATCAAGGAGCTCTGCAGAGGCAATTCTCAGTAGGTGATTTAGTTTTAGTATATACCAGTTAAATAATCTGAAAGACCTGATGGAAAAAAACCTGGTTGGCTGAAATAAGTGCTTTTTTGGCTCTGCTATTGCAGCCGATCACTTTATAAACAGCACCAGACAGACCATTAGTCTAAAGCTTTTAAACATAGTTTTACGCTATACAAATCAATATTTTCATACTTTAAACAAAACAGCATAATAAGAAACATATATTCTGGTATGTGAATAACATGAAAAAAAAATAATGCAAAAGAAAGAAAGGAATTACCTTCTTGCATTTTTTTGCAGTGTGTTGCAGTCAGAATGTTTAATTGAAGTTGATATGTTTTGCTTAGCCAGGATTATTTCTTTAGCCTAAAATAAAAATACACAGAATAATGTCTCATAATAGTTGATATTTATGCTCACAAGCATTTAAATAATCTCTCAAAACCAAAGAAATTAAGAGTCTGAATAAATTTTCTCTTGTGACATTCACTCTTTCTGTTAGATATTAACACTCGTCACTCAGCATGAAACGCATGCATAAGGCAATGTTAACCAAACGATCTGAATGGAATTATATTAAAATATATGCATGTATATGTATATATTTAAGTATTTAAATATATACATATATTTGTATTTAAATATATGCTGTCTAGTTTAGTACTGTGTTAATAATGCACATTACTGATTTTCTTCGTAACTAAATAACCAGTTTATGCTGTGCTTCCCACTCAGATTTCAGTTCTGGTGTCCATGTGCTGGTTCAGACCCTGTTATTAAATAATCTGCTGCAATCTGGACTTCTCACTCTTTATAAAAGGAACGAGTGACCACAAACTCCCTCGACTCCTTTGTTAAAACAGAATCTTAAGTTCAACATCCAAGTGAATTCCTCTTCTCAATGAAAGCATGCGCATCCCTATTTTTTGGCAGATATGTGTTGTTGGCAAATGGGTAT